CCACCCGCCGCCCCATTCCCCGCCCACATCATCACAAGCCGCCATGTCACCGAACGCTTCTTCTGCCCGAGAACCAGCAGTGCCGCCTCTTGCATCTTGGCCGCCTCCAGAATTGCAGGACCTTTCTCTTTCCCTTCTACCACTGCAACCTCAATATGAACCTGTCTTAAACAAATTGAAAAATTCTAGTAATTAATTTTTTTCTTGAACAACTCAATCAACTTTATCATTCTCTCCGTCCGTAAAGATAGGTTTGTTTCTATTGTCACACAGAATAAGAAAACTTAATTAACATATTTTGAAACTATAAGGATCTATTATCTTTACTATTTTCAAGCCGTTTTCTATTTTCGATTATCCAAAATAGTGAAAACGCGTTCTCTTTCCCATTTTCTAAAATGCGTTTTTGAGAACAAGTTAAAAACTTATAAAGAAAACCCAAATCGACTAATTTGTCGTTTTAGGTATTTTCAATTATAATCAAGTCAAAATTTTCAAAACACGTTTTGGGTATTTTTAAAACAGTTTTTCAAAATGTCAAAAAAAATATATTTTCAACAATTTTAAAATGGACACTCAAAACACAAAACTCAAAATGAATTCAAAATTAAAAACACAAATTTCAACAAAAAGAGAACAACATTTTACTTACATTTTTCCTAACATACCCCTACATCGAATAATGGTAGCTTATATTTGTTGATAACAATGCACATTGAATGGGGATATATTAGAAAATAAAATATTAATTATATTTTCAACAATGTAAGTGGCCTATAATTTGGGACAAACAAAAAGGGAAACCAAGTCTATCTTTGTGAGACGGAGGTAGTAAATGATATCTTCCAGAACTGCAAGCGATATAAACAATGGAATACAAACAATCTGATTAAGAAAAATTAGAGTTCACACCCCAGGTCTCTTCAGCTGGCACATTTTTTTCATAGAAGTAAGAAAGTGAGGAGCTCTTGAATTTATATCCGTCTTAGACTCCTCACCTGCCAAAAGCGATGACACTAGTAATTTAGTAATACTTTTCTGGTAAGGATAGAGAAAAAAAAAGGTATAAATTTTGTACATTGTGTTGTCCAGTAAATCATCTAAACACTGAAAACATGTTCACCTTGTTTTGAAGGCTTAATTACATAGAGAAGAATCACCAGGTCTTTGTCCTGGACTGTATGAGTGAGTGCCCATTGTACCGCATTCTTGGCTTCAAGACTTGAATCAACCACAATCAAGATTTTCCTGCCAAATATTGCTCCTGTTTTTGCTACCTCGCCAGAACTATCCTTTTCGACTTCCCCAGAATTATGTTTCTCTTCTTCATCAGCATTAATGGAGGTAGAATTAGCATGATTTTTGGATTGAGCTGGACAAGAACGAACACGAACAAGAGGCCTAATCCTGTTCAAGCAAAAACTTTGCATTTTACTAGTCCCCTTTAGGCCCATGTCTTGTAACTAATGGGACCTAAGATCTAACTTCTATGTAAGTAGACACTAGACACCATTGCAGCAGCTTTAGAAAGAGCACTACTTATAAGTAGAAATGGTAGAAAAAAAAGCAGCAATTGGGTGGCAAACGGACTTGTACATGATGGCTGGGCCATGGTTTCTTTCTTCTTCTTCTTCTTTTTTCTTCTTTTGCAATTTAATCATTTTTCCTTTATTTACTTTTGGCTTGTGGGACTACGTGTGAACGTGGCTATCATGAAACTGTAGGGCCATCCTTCCCAAGATTAGTTGTTAAATTGATCTTGAGAATCTTAAGGCGTAAAAAGAAAGAAACTTCACAATCTCGGGCATTATTCTTAGAATTTGTGGTTTGAAGGTTCCTTCACTGTTCTGTTCTTTAGAAAAGCAGTAATTCAGTGTGGCGCAATCATATCAAGTTTAGAGGTGTATGGACAGGTGGAGTTTGGCTATTCGATCCAACCCCATTTGACCCGACGTAGGCAATAATATTTGCTTTTTACTAATTAACAAAAAAAGTTGTGACAGGCATCATGGCTCACGTTTTTATGGACCTGTTTGTCCCTCATGTACCAATTGTTGAAATTTGGTTGTGATCCGAATTTCTTGTTAAAATAATTGAAAAATTCTAATTGAAATACATGTCAAGAGAAATTCAATTTGGAATTCTATTGGAGTCTTATTCAAATTGAAATTATATTTGGAAGCCCTATTGAGAGTTGAAATTTGTATTGGACTTGAAAATGTTGAAATTACGGAACGAGAAGAAAAGTCGTCTAATTTTCGTTAGCTTACAGCTGGCAGCTTGAGCAATACCTGCATGTTTTCTCTCGAAACTTGGTCGCTCGCCAGTCGTTCGCCTAGCGCTCAAGCGACGGACCTGTCGCTAGCTTATCGCTCCAACGACAGGGTTATCTATCCCAGGCCATTTTCAAGTTTTAACACGTTTTTTACATTCTACTACAACTACAACTCATCTATTAGGGTTTGGACGTCGCCCCTGCATAGTTGTCTATATATATTTGACTCTTTTATACGATTTTATTATGTGAGAATAGTGTGAGAAAAGTGATTACTTGCTTTAGGATAATTGTAATACTTCTTTATCTTCATTATTTGTGGTGCAATTAAATCTTCTAATTTCTCTGTCATATTTTCTTTTCCTTTATTCTTTTGCGTGTGATCAAATATTTCATTATTGTGCCATATAATTTTAATATCTCAATCCGGTGGTTGATTACATATCAAGTGGTATCGAACAATACTCTTTGAATTCCCAACAAGTGGTATTAGAAATTCTAGGCATAATTAACATAACAAGTGGTATCAGAGCCTAGGTTCCGCAAGTTTTGCAAGAACGCAGGGTTTGTCGTGTTCAAGATGGCTTTCATAAAGTATGACATTTCGCTTTTGGATCAAGTACTAGATTTTCACTAGACATGTTAAGATACGTGCAATACTCGTACAACAGGATTTAGATGATGTATTTATGGGAATTGACACAATGTTCGCAACTTTGACCGCGGAAGAGAAATTATGAAAGGATAATAAGGTAGTTCCTCAGATTCATCTTCATCTATCGAATATCATTTTTCAGGACGTTTTGAAGGAGGGTTCAATAGCTGCTTTATGGTTGAAGTTAGAATAATTGTGCATGACTAAAAGTCTAACAAGCAAGCTGCATCTCAAGCAGCGTTTATTCTTTCATCGAATGGCAGAAGGAGGATCATTGGAAGATCACATGGCTGTATTTAAGGAGATAGTCACTGATTTGGAAACTTTGGAAGTAAAGTATGATGAAGAAGATTTGGCATTAATCCCATTGTTCATTATCGACTTCATTTTCTTCATTTAGAGACACGATCTTGTATAGTCGTGATACTCTCACCATAGATGAGGTGTATGATATTTTGTTTACAAAAGAGAAGATGAAGCATCTGGTTTCTAATGCCAGAGATAGAGAAGTGGTTCTAGAAGGGGCAGATCGAAATCTAAGTTCAGTAATTAAATTTACAACTACTGCAAAAGGAAGAGACACATAAAGAAGGATTGCTAAAAATTTCAGAGTAAAGAAACATTGGCTCCAAGTCGATATGGAAAGCAATCAGAGGCTTTAAGTAAAGCAGACTTCACAGAAAACATTGTAAGTTGAAATTATGAGGTTCGACCCAAATTACACCTAGAGGAGGGTGAATAGGTGATTAAGCGATTAAAAAATTAGTAATTAACTAGCATCAAATCACTATTACTTATCTCTAGATGGTTAATCTATCAAGTCAAGTTTTCTAAGTTGAATTGACGCAATTATATGAAAGCAATAAATAAACAATCAGAATGATCACGGAGAAACCTCAATTGGATAAAAATTTTGGGCACTGTGCCAGTTAACAATCCACTATAAACAAATTATGAACTTGCAGTCCGCCAAACACGACTACCACTAGTACTTTCTGACCTTCTGACTGCAATTTCCACAACCCTTCTGGATTGTGTGCTCCTGCACCAACTCTCAGCTACAGTTTTCAAAGCCCTCATGAATTGCGTGTTCCTACACCAACTCTCGACTTTATGATCTATCTTCTGTGGATCAACGAAAAACTCTACGTTCTTCTTCAACTAGAACTCCAGTCACCTTCTCTTGATCTTCAGAACTTTGATAGTTGTGTAGAAAGTAGCAGTTTGATATTTGGATTATAAGTTTGATGTTTTTAACGCCAGAACACATCAAAACATGAAGGTTGAAAACTTGTTTGATGAAGAAGATATGAATGAGTAAGTATTTTCTCAATGATCAACCTTAGGAAAAACCATTCAGATGCTTGCTGGTTTTTATAGTTTAGGTTTAGGATTGAATGAGTCGAACAAAAAGCCTTTAAAACGTAAATTAAAATTTTTCGGAAAACATTGTCACTCGAGCGAAAGTTGGGTGACAGGTGAGTGACAGTGTGGTGCTCGAGCGAAGGTAAGGCGACAAGCGAGCGACAACGTTTCTATTTCTATTGCTCAAGAAAATTCATAGCGACAGTCTAGCAAAATCGCTACGCCATTTTTTTTCTTTTTTCCATTCTCGAACCCTAGACCTAATACAATCCAATTAATAGTATTTGCAATTTACTCCTTTAACTTTTGCAATACATTAATTCTAGTACTTTTTGTTCACATATTTCCAGTTAAAACCTAACATAAGTAAGGGAGATCTCTTGGCTTTTTTTGACATCGAATCTAAACCAGATGAAGATTGAATTCCAGATTCAGCGTGTGTTTCATGTGTCCTAATAAGGACTTGTTTACTACATGTGAAACTGCTTCTAAAGATGTCGTGGTTATTAGAAATAACACACCTTGTCGGGCTGTTTGAATTGGTACGGTTAGATTGAAACTATTGGATGGAACAATTAGAACACTTGGCCAAGTTCGATATGTTCAGGATTTGAAAGTTTGCAAGAGTGTCCAGGTTGTATTGAAGGGATAGAAAATGTCTCAGTTATACATCTTGTAGGGCCGTACAGAATCTATAAAAGTCAATAAGCATAGGTTCAGTACCGTGGTGGACATTCAGTTTAGTACAATACATTTAGGAGCTCGTTAATGGTCGGATTTAAAGAATATAGCTTCGTAGAGTTCAGGAGATATGTATAATGCCGCTTTGCCACCATCACATGCGATGCCATTATATTCTATTTATGGGGATAGACCCGGGGGAAAAAGGTATATAAATGCTGATTTTGTTAAGCATGCTTTCAATGTAGTAAAAGGTGTACAATCTAACAATGGGCCTTCTTCAAAAGCATTTGGGTTTGATTCTGTTTTGGGGTGTAATATAGCCCAATTTGGTGAATTTTAAAATCATTATGACTTTTTGAGAATTTAAGGTAATTCTGTAGAGTCGTGCTTGGATTCATTTGGAGAAGTAGAGTATTTTGTGTTTGATTGGAGAAATCATATTTGGTTATTATTAAAGAGTCAGTTCATTTCTTATAGATAGATTTTCTTCTCCAGTGTAGAAAATTTTGGAGTTTTGTTCGTTGCAGTGAAATTCGTATCAAGGTGGAGATTGTTAGAATTTGGGTGTGACCCAAATTCCTTGTTGAAGTAATTGAAATTTTTTAATTAAAGTGTACGTCAAGAAGAATTCAGTTTAGAATTCTATTGGAGTCTTATTCAAGTTGAAATTATATTTGGAAGCCCTATTAGAAGTTGTAATTTGTATTGGACTTGAAAATGTTGAAATTATGGACCGGGAAGAAAAGTCGCCTCATTTTCGCTGTCCTACCTCTAGCAGCCGCTACATCTGCACGTTTTCTCTCTAGACTCGGTCGCTCGCCTATTGCCCGTCGACGCTCGAGCAATGGACCTGTCACTAGCTTATCGTTGGAGGGACGGGGTTATCCTACCCAAGCCCTTTTCACATTTTAACACGTTTTTGGTATTCTATTTCAACTACAACTCATCTATTAGGGTTTGAACGTTGCCCTATATAGTTGCCTATATATACTTGGCTCTTCTATACAATTATATTATGTGAAAATAGTGTGAGAAAAGTGATTACTAATTTTTACGAACATTGTAATACTTCTCTATCTTCATTATTTGTAGTGCAATAAAGTCTCATAATTCATTTGTCATATCTTCTTGTCTTCTTTTATTCTTTTGCTTGTGATCAAATACTTCATTATTGCACCATATAACTTCAACATCTCAAAAAGGTGGTTGGTTACATATCAAGTGGTATTGAACAATACATGATCCTTAAATTCCCAACAAGTAGTATGAGAGATTCTGGGCATAATTAACACAGCATAATCAAATTTGTTTCATAAAAACGAAATGTAACAAGTCAGATTTAAAAGAATTGAACAAGATAATTAAAGAATTTGAGAAGATTCTTGCGATCATGAACACTTTGGGCTATCCGGTAACACTTTGTTGAAGTTTCAACCACCCTGATAGATAGG